GTTTCCATCTTTCTCTATCTTGCGCCAATCTAATCCACTATTTGCCTGCCACTGCTCTTATGTCATTTACCCATCTTTTTGAGGTCTTCCTATGCTTTTTGTTGTCGTACTTGGTCTCCATTCTAGAATTTTCCGTGTCCACCTTTTGTCATTATATCGGGCTACGTGACCTGCCCAGCGCCATTTCATTTTTGTAATTTCTTCCACAATATCCCTAATATTCGTTCTACGTCTTATCTCGGTGTTTCTAATCTTGACTCTCAGTGATATTCCAAGCATGATTCGTTCAATTGCTCTTTGCGTTGTTTCCAATTTTTTAGCAGATTTTTGGTAAGGAATACTGTCTCCAATCCGTAGGTATAAACTGGTAGTACGCATGTGTTATATCTTTTTCTTTAAGTTTACAGGAATGGAGGTGCTTTTCAAGATATATGCCAGTTTGCCGAAAGCGTCCCATGCCAGTTGTATTCTTCTTTTAATTTCAGCATCTTGATTTGGTTTTCCTAGTTTGATGACATGACCTAGATATACATAATGTTCAACATTTTCTATGGTATGATTTTATGTTGTTATATTTGTCTGGTCTCGGCTCAGTATTTTTGTTTTACTGTTCATTTTTAATCCTACCGCTCCTGAAATTGCATTTCGAACTTATCGTTTGCCTTATATCGTGTCTTTGTGTCTCAATCGAGAAGAAAAAATGTCATGGAACAAAACGGTTGATGCAAAGGAGACGCACATTTCTAAGCGTAGGAAAGCGAAACACCAATGGTTTCAAAAAATTGAATCAACAAATAAAGAAGGGAGTAAATGAAGATTTAAGGATCTACAATGAAAACAAGGTAGAAAAAATAATAGAAAAGAACCGAGGCCTAAAATGTTTAAGATCAAACTTAGGAAAGCCTATAATAATCTCATTGAAGAACAAAGATGAAAAGAGAAAAGAGAAAAGAGAAAAGAGAAAAGGAAAAAGAGAAAAGAGAAAAGAGAAAAGGCAAAAGAACAAAAGAGAAAAGAGAAAAGAGAAAAGAGAAAAGAGAAAAAGAGAAAAGAGAAAAGAGAAAAGAGAAAAGAGAAAAGAGAAAAAGAGAAAAGAGAAAAGAGAAAAGAGAAAAGAGAGAAAAGAGAAAAGAGGAAAAGAGAAAAGAGAAAAGAGAAAAGAGAAAAAGAGAAACAGAGAAAAGAGAAAAGAAGAAAAGAGAAAAGAGAAAAGAGAAAAGAGAGAAAGAGAAAAGAGAAAAGAGAAAAGAGAAAAGAAAAAAGAGAAACGAGAAAAGAGAAAAGAAGAAAAGAGAAAAAAGAGAAAAGAGGAAAAGAGAAAAGAGAAAAGAGAAAAGGAGGAAAAGAGAAAAGAGAAAGAAGAGAAAAGAGAAAAGAGAGAAAGAGAAAAGAAAAGTAAGAACGGAATCCTAAAAGTTACTTAAACATTTTACCATAATTTATATTCCTCAAACAATAACTCAGATAACACTGCAAAGGAAGATCTTAAGAGAAAGATAACGAATGTCAACTCAGAAATACTCCCTAACATAGAATCCTACGAAATAAAGCAAGCTATGGTACAACTAAAGAACAAACAGATGGAATACTTGTAGAAGTGATGAAGGAGGAGAGTGAAATTATTGTCGAAGAATTGAAACTTTTTTTCAATCACTAGAGAATAATAATTTCAATTGGAATACTATTTTTTAGAAATTAACCAACATTTTTCGTACAGAGCAGTTTTTTGTATACAAAAGATTAATAAGAATAGAAATATAACATGTTCATTAGCAGAAGCGAATTTTAAAGTATTTTCAAAGATATATTTCAAACATTATTGGGATAAAAAATCTTTTTAGTAATAGCTTAACTTTTTCGGAGTAAAACCGGTATTTGTTTGAAATTGGATATCGTATTTGGTATATGCACAAGTTGTAATGGAAGTATTTATGCTGTTAAATCTTCTCTAATAATAATAGTATTCGTGTTAAATTTTTTAGTTCTTGGACTTTGTAATTGTACTCAAGTGAACATATTACAGTGACATTGTACATTTAACTAATAAATTTCCGAAGAACGATAAGGATTGTTTATTTCACGTCAGTTGACGGTGAAAATTCTTCAAGGAAAACAAATATTTGTTGTAGGTCAATTATATACTAATGTTCTTGTAGCCTTTGGAATAAAATACTTCTTAGAAATGAATCAAACGAAAAATTTCATAATTTATAGTATAAATTCAATTAATATTATTTACGACGCTTCGCCAGAGTCGTTGTAAGGAGGACAATGTTGACAATAGGAATGTACCCATCACAAACAAAATGTTTAGCTTCTTTTATTTAAGAATTGACAGAAATGTAGATTTAATTCAACATTTTGGTTTGTTGAATTAATAATCACTGTTCTCTCATCTGTTATCAATAATTTGATTATTGATGATTTTTTGCAATATGTCGCTAACAAGTGTCTTTAAAAAACTCGATGAAGTTCTTCTCACTTCTTAAGTGGTTTCTCCAAAAATTTCAGAGAGAACAATTACTCAGAAAAGGTTTGTAAGCAAGCGGAAATTTTTCACAAACACTTATAAATCAAAGTACCTTTCAATGTATTCAGTGGTTTGTTACACCGATTTAAAAAATGTCACTGGCTTTGTGAGCTTACCATTCAAGATTAATTACTTAGTGCCAGCGAAGCAGCAATTTTGGAATTTTTCTATGAACTAGAGACCAAAATTACAGAAAATGTATATCTCAAATTACCTTGTCTAAGTGAACGAATTAAAACTTTTTCTCCTTTTTGAAATGTGAGTGGTTTTTTAATTGTTCGATTTTGTCTTCTGATATATTTTTCAACTTTCCTCTGAATTCTTCTATTTACTCTCTGCATTACTTGTTCCAACATTTCTTGGTTATATTCACTTATTCATTTTCTCTTTCCTATATGTCCAAACATTAAATATTCTGGTACTTCCTCTGTATTTAAATTATGTGTATTATTTAACAAATATTCCACTTTTTTTATATGTCCTTGCCATCTCAAATGCTGATCCTGGCATAGTATCCTTAAATATTTTATAACTTCTTTAATATATCTTTCTGCAGGATTCGCTTGAGGATGTCTGATACTTGTAAAATGAATGTTGATCCCTTTTTTCTCACAAAATGCCCGAAATTGTTGGTTGTTAAAATATATAGCATTATCTATTATGCAATTTTTAAATGGTCCTATTTTTTCGAAAAACTTATTAATATATAATTTTAATGTTTGAAATTATATATTAATGCTCAAGAACATTTGTTCTTGAGCATAGATATAGTTTAATAAATTTTGTATATAAATGAACTATCACTAGTATATGCTTATTTCCTGTTGGACTGGGAACTAAATTTGACTGAAACTTATAATCAGTTATAATACAATAGGAATGTACTCATCACAAACAAAATGTTTAGCTTCTTTTATTTAAGAATTGAAAGAAATGTAGATTTAATTCAACATTTTGGTTTGTTGAATTAATAATCACTGCTCTCTCATCTGTTATCAATAATTTGAGTATTGATGATTTGTTGCAATATGTCGCTAACAAGTGTCTTTAAAAAACTCGATGAAGTTCTTCTCAATTCTTAAGTGGTTTCTCCAAAAATTCAGAGTACAATTTCTCAGAAAAGGTTTGTAAGCAAGCGGAAATTTTTCACAAACACTTATAAATCAAAGTACCTTTTAATATATTTAGTGGTTTATTACACCGATTTAAAAAATGTCACTGGTTTGTGAGCTTACCATTCAAGATTAATTACTTAGTGCCAGCGAAGCAGCAATTTTGGAATTTTTCTATGAACTAGAGACCAAAATTACAGAAAATAATCTACAATTGTCTCAAATTTATAACGCAAATGAGACAGGGTTTTACTGGCGAGTAATACCTCCAAAAACCTTAGTTGCGTATAATGAGATAGATGTACAAGGATATAAATAAAGTAAAGATTTGATTTAATATAACAACTTTGTGTTATACCAATGCGTCTAGTAGCCATAGACTTAGGCTGGTTTTGATTGAAAAGCCAAAAAATCCTCACAATTTTTAAAACATAAAACTGCATATTATCACAGTTCAGTATTATAACCAGCAAGCTGCTCGAATAACTTAGGTTGTAGACCAATGTCTACAAATGTAGACCAATAAGACTTGCAACATGGAATGTAAATAGCTTGTACCAGCATGACCAGAATGGAAATAGATATTCTGCTCATAAGTGACAATGGCCAGACACCGGCAAACTTATAACCAAAAACGGCATTATGTATTATGTTGGAAACAACGATCCGGCTCATCGCTATGGAAACGCAATCTTGTTAGACACATAAACTAATAAATCAGTTATAAGTTTCACTCCTTACTCAGAGAGAGAGAGAGAGAGAGAGAAAGAGAAAGAAAAAGAGAGAGAGAGTGATAATGGTTCAGCTGAAGACAAACATACAAGTTAACTTAATTCAAGTATACGCACCAACAGCGGATAAGGATGAAGAGGAGATAGAACAGTTTTACATGAAGTTAGACACAATTTTAAGATCTATTAAAAAAGAAGACATTACAATGTTAATGGGGGACTTTAAAACAAGCCGCTTGTATAATGACAAAGCTTGCATAACTTTTCCCTACAGGCACTCAAGCGTGCTTGTAGAAATAGATTGAACAAGCAAGTTGGACAAGCTTGTATGTGTGTCTGTATCCGCCTTAAATCATTACAGGTCCAGTAGATATTTACCATTCATGCTAAGAGGTATGAAAAGTAGTAAGCAGTCATTAAGATTCACCCTGTATATTTTTTGATTAAATTTTTGTATAATGTTTATGGTAAACATATACCATATCGAGAATTTCGAGACAAGACCAGATCTTCGGGATCAATGAACTAATTATGTAATTGGTTATAAAATGTTGCGTGTATTACTATGGATTAAATTTACTCATCTGCCTGATTTTACAGACTCTTACTAGTTTCTTTTTGTTTCAGAAATATTAACCCTGGCGTTGGTGGGTGTTATCATGGTTTGCAGTTCATGCCTAATATATTTATACAATCCTCTACAACTCATCGTTAACAAGGTAAGCATAATTTAACGCTAGATTATCATTTTGCTTATCTTAAAACATGTACCTTCTCTTTCAGATGTCAAAGATAGAACCAGGAAACTTTTTGTATGGTTTATGGCAGGCACCCCCATACGCACCGACTCTAAAATTCTACATTTTCAACGTAACCAATCCAGAGCAATTTCTGCGAGGCGAAGAGAAACTGAATCTTACACAAGTTGGACCTTACTGCTATAGGTAACAGATCATGAACATTTATTTTCCTAAATAAATCTATTCCCATTTATTCATAACCGAATAAATGCGAGGCGTTTTTCAATATATATTTTTTTTTAGAGAGCACCTTACTCACGAAAATGCTTCTTTTAATGCAGAAGATGGAACGATAACTTTTAATCCACTACGAAAGATGACTACTTATTCAGAATGTTCTATAGGAAATGCCTCAGTGGATACACTTTTGGTTCCTAATATTCCGTTGATTGTAAGTAAAAGTATATATATTTTTATTTATGTAAAAATTAGCTTATTGTAATCTTTCTTCCACATTTCCGTATATATATATATATATATATATATATAAATATAGATTGAACGAAATAAATTCGGAACATACGAAATATTATGTATTTCGTCTCAATTCTGCTGTAGGTGGTTGACCAATAGAAGGTTGTCAAATAATCGGGCTGCTGGATTCTAAAATCATAAAAATTGAAAGCTACACATAAATCTACGATTTTATTATGCTGTCAGACCACTTATAGTCCAGGAAATGAAGCATTTCACCTCGCAATTTTTTCGTCCTGCGTGGATTGGCTTGAAATTTTAACAGAAGGTAGGTAACAGCCAAGGATCAAAATCTATATCGAACCAAAGTGCGCCAAAGCCTATCGGGGGTAAAAATTTTTTTTACGTTTTAACTACAGGCTTCGATTAAAAATGTGATTCTAAACAAAAATGTTCTATACATTTTTTTTGTAAAACTGATATTTTTCAAGTTATCGCGATTTAAAGTAACAACTTTTAGAAAAAATCGACGTTTTTAATCGATTTTTCGCGAATAACTCGAAAATGGTGCATTTTATTAAAAAATTGTAGAGAACAAATTTGTAGCTTTTAAAAAGACAAAAACAATTAATTTTTTAAAATGTTTTTGCGATATAACAGGAACCGAAATACGGCCTATCAATGTTCAGCGGTTTTCTTCAAATGCCAAATTTGAAAGATTCAAAGTCAAATTTCGAGAAAATGATGCATTTTTGGAAGAAAACTCACAGAACCTTTTTTAAAGAGCATAAATAGACCTATCAAAAAAGTCTCTAGCTCAAAAATTGAGTAAATTATGATGAAAATAAGGTCAATACCTCATTTTTTTACGAAAAAATCGATGAAAACAACCCCTAACCACCCCCATAATTAAAATCGATTTTCACCCTTTTGCAATTCTCTTTGTACATGTATTGTTAATACGTCCAAGACGTTTGACTCATTTAAAATGCTTAGTTTTACAAAAAGTACAGCATAAAGCGAGAAACGATTTACAATTTCATATTTTTTACCCTTCTTTTTTTAAATATCCCCGAAAATACTGAATATATGAGAAAAATAAAAATGTACTAGATTGTAGCTTTTTTTAATGACTAAAATTTTCCTCTATTTAGATTTGTTGTACAATGAATATTTGGCGAGATATAGCCGTTTAAAGCATCGATTTACGATCAAGCACCATCTTTTTCGAGCCCTTTAAACTCACCCCATTTAAAAACCAAGGGTTCCAAAAAGATTTAATTCACAGATCCTTGTAGCTCTTAAAAACCTTACAAAATCGTTTTTGAAGAAACACTTTATCTTTAAAAATGAAGGAAATACGTTAAAAAAACCAATTAATTTTTTTTCCGGAAAATTCCATTAGTATAGTACAGTAGATTTCGGAGCATTATAATCTACAAAACCGGTATATTAGGTAGTAGGGCGTTATACATTCGAAATTTTAAGCGTTCTTATTTGAAATCCCATACAACAGAATAAAACATCTGCTCATATGTCTATGGCTTGGCAATGAAAATATCAGAGCAACAGATTGGGGATGGTACTCCAAAGATGGTTTGTTATTACCCGTACGCATGAACAAACAATCTGCACCCGAAGAACTTTTGAAAATTATTTTTTGCCAATGTAAAAAAGAATGCGGCGTTTCATGTGGGTGCAGAAAAGTTGGTTTATACTGTAACTCTAATTGTTCTGGGTGCTCAGGTGAAGGGTGCAATAATAGTCCATCAATAATTGAAGAATATGAGGATGACATAGATCACGATGAAGATGTAATTGATGACGAATAAAATTAATATTATAATTGTTTTACCTATAAGTGTAAATATTTTCAACTATTTATGTAAATGTATAAGAATATATGATGCCTTTTTATGTTGATAAATTTTTTTGTATTTAATTCTACTTTTTTCAATTTATATCTATTAAATAAGTTTATAAAAACTGCAATGTTGTAAAGGTGATTTTCAAAAGTTGAAAAGTTGCAAAATTTTGGCAAACAATTGTTTTCACCTATAGCACTCATAACAATTGATTTTTAAGGGTTGAAATATGATGAAACTTTATTCAAAAGCACGAAACTATCATTATTTAATTAATTCAAACCAAATTTTACCCATATTCTGGTTTAATATGTTATTTTATAATTTTTTAAAATTAGGGGTAGTTTTCACCCCTAAAAACAATCAGGGTTCGTCGACATGACATAAACTATAAAGCAATGGGTGAATTGAGCTTAAATACAAATTTTTATCCAAATCGATCCAAGGCGAAATCAATTTTTTAGAATTAGTAATTTTTTTACATCAATCTCGAACAAGGGTTGCTTTTAAGGGTTGAAATATGATGGAACTCTATTCAAAAGTATAAAATAATCATTATTTAACTAATTCAAACCAAATCTTACCCATATTCAGGTTTAATATGTTATTTTATAATTTTTGACAATTAGGGGTAGTTTTTTACCCCTAAAACCCTTCAGCCCACTTCGGTTTGATATAGATTTTGATCCTTGGGCTATCACCTACCTTCTGTTAAAATTTCAACTCAATCCATGCAGGACGAAAAAATTGCGAAATTTTAACTTTTTTCGAGCTTCATTTCCTGAACTATTATCGCTTCCTTTACGCAAACAACATTGTTGCAAGACAGATAGTTGAACGATATTTTATACAATGTCTATACCCAGGTATGGATTTATTTTTGTCCAAGTTTTATATTGGTCCACTATTTCAAACGCAGTTCAAACAGACATATATTAAATTGTATGATCCGTTTTAAATTCGTTCAATCTGTATATACATATAAAAATTTCAGTTATTATTTTTATTTGTTCTGCATTTAATAGCTTCAGCAGTTCTGCAGGAATTTCATCAAGTCCTCCGTTATTTCTTCTGGTAGGATTTCGGGACCTGAATTTTCTTCAATGGTGGGTTCTTGTATTATTTTAAGGTTATGGAAAAGTTTCTCCAAGTATTCTTTCCATACTCTGGAAATAAGAGTGCAGAATAAGAGACACAAAAGTGTTTCTTATGCTGCACTTTTAATAAATAAAAAGATGATCTTCACTGTTAGCCATGGGTTTGGAATTTCGTATCTCTGTCGGCACATATTAAAAAAGTAAAGGAGTCGTAAGTGGCAGAAAGTGTCAGCATATTCCTGCAGCTTTTCTATTGTTCATATAGTCAACTATGGTCTATACTTCATTCATTATTATTTAATATTTCTCAAAACAATAAGATATTTTGTTTCGAAATTGTTCGTTTATTTTCCACTTTTTGTAATAACTTAATGAAGTAACCATAGTAAATTCTTAAAAGCAATTTGTATTATGTATTTAGTTTGTATTACTAACTATAAATATATTTTCAGGGTATTCAGAGCTTCCTTGCTGATTCTTCAGTCATTACGAACATTGGCTTCTCAACACTGAGTGCAACATTAGGCGCTGAATCTTTCATCAATCTAACCATCCACGAATATCTTTGGGGATATTCTGACAAGCTGGTTTCCATAGCAAATCAGTTCGTGCCAAGTTGGATCGATTTTGGAACATTTGGAATTTTCGAAAGGGTATGTATACACAATCTTAAATTATTTTCTTTTTCTTTAGTTTTTTTTTATCAAAAATCTCTATTTCTTAAACCAATTTATTCCTTACTCCATTTACAACCATTTACTCCTTAACTTTCTTCTTTTATTCATTAGTTTATTTATGAAGAGTATTTCATATTTTACAACTTTTAAATCTGTTTCTATATCTTATCCTGTTTTTTTAAATTTATCTCTTAAAAGTTTGTTTATGCAGATTTGTAGATTACAAAAGGGTTGTGTTGCGTTTGCGTTCTAAAAAAATTTGCCTTAAATTAATTATGTCTTATGGTAAAGGTCTATATGGCTAAGTATAAATAGTTGCATAGCTATTAGGCCTATTTAAGATTTCACTTATGAACATAAATACAAATGTATTTATTTGAATACCCGTGTGTTGTATTCTGTGGTATTGACAGTTAGTAGTTCTCAGAGAGGTCCTTGTTACTTTTTTGTCCTGTTTTGCCATTTTTTGGCTTTGTCTTTCATCGGCGTTTGAACTGCACATGCCGCACTTTAGTTAATCAGCCAGAGTTAAGAATTATTAGTTGCTTTTAAATTCATGTTCAAGTATACTGTAACGAAAGTTAGCTCAGATGGTTAAAACAGAAGAAGACCAGGTGATAAAAAGCTGATCGACATTTCACTCAAAGATGCCAAAAAAAAACGCCAGAAAACATATTAAAGAATTATTAATGCAAAACTGTTAAAATCAACGCATTTATCTGTAACTTGTGAATCTTCAAAAATAAGCTAACATTAAATACTCAAAAATAATTTACATATGACATATGACCATATTGTCATGGGTAAAAACTTGTAAAGCAAAAATCAGATTGCAGTCTTTAATTAAACTAAAATAAAACTTAAACGCAAATTAATTTAATTAATTCTTTTTTTTTTTCTTCTTAACATCTACTTAATTTTCCAATACAAAAAATGATAACTAAAAGAGATTAGACAGCAAGCTGGAATCAAAGAAAAGGCCTTAATTTCGTTCATCTTAAAATGAAGCTACAAAAATTAAACGCATAATAACGAAACTAGTTCATAAAAATTATGTTTTTGTAATAAACATCTGTAAAATAAATGAGTTTATTTAATATAAAATCACCACTCCTAAATGCTAACGCTAAAGTCGGAGAGAAACAGGTGCATTCCGGTCGGGATCCTTTTTCTAATCGGCAAAAATATATTGATTTGTACCGTCAACCCGAAAAAATAAAGCAACAAGCACATGACAAAAGTCATATCACGTCACATGGCAGTGATGGTATGGAACCCGGCATTGAATATGTGAGGCGCCATTGGACTCTATACAAAAGAAAAATATTTCTTTATACCGAATAAAGATAGTAAGGTAGGGAATGATTAATCTTACCACAGAACTAAACCAAAATAAGGTCTCACCACAACTAAATAACTAAATATTTACATCACAAGCCATTTCAGCTACAACTCAGAACTAACTTGAAATTGGATTTTACTATTTCTTTTAAAGGTTAGGACAAAACTAACTAAACTTTGAGAGGAAAGGGAGCTTAATTACGCCCTTCTTGTTTAGATACCGTCTCCTCTAAGAAGGTTGGTAATCATCACAGCTATTTTCACTTTTGAGATTGCAGCTCTGAACAAGTCGATGGAACTGCAATTATACAACTTTCTCAGATTGTTGAGCCAGAAGATGCGTCTTCTTCCAATACTTTATTTTCCCTGCATTAGGTTTGTAGCAACACATATTTATCTCCTCTCATAACGTGACCGATATATTGTAACTTTCTTATCTTAATCGTATTCATGATTTCCATTTCCTTTCTTTCTTGTCCTTTGAGTCCTTGATGGTCCAAATGTTGAGGTTCTTTCTGAGGACCTCAACATTTGTTATTCGGTCTACCCAACTTATTTTTAATATTCTTCGCTAGGTCCACATCTTAAATGCTTCAAGTCGATCGCTCACCTCTTTCTTTAAGGTCCAGGCCTCCAAACTATATAGCAGCACCGAAAACACATATGAACGTAATATTCTTATTTTTAGTTGCTAACTAAGGTCTCTTTTGCATAATAATTTTCTCATCTTATTAAATGTTGCTCTAGCTTGTCTAATTCTCATTTTTATTTCTTCTGTATACTCGTTTAATTACGCCCATAACCAATTTACCATTAAATGGGGAACTTTCAATTATTGCATGCTTGACGTATGCAAGCGATAAAAAATAATCTGTAGAGACAGGTTTATAAACATTCCCTACAGAATATTTTAGTACAGAACCTTTAAGTACTATTTTAGTTGGGAATAACCTTCAAGTACTATTTTAATTGGGAATAAGCCGAAATTGTACCGACGATCAGTAACTTAGCCTTCGGACGTATCATGACATGATATGAATTATAATTATTTTATATTTATTGCTTCAAATATTTCAAAATCATCCCATTTTATTGTTATTTATTGCACTACTTAAATATTGATGTTCTTTTATCTTTTCTAGCTTCTATCCAGAGATAACGGCAATAACGTCACTATCGCTCTGTATCCGGATAGAAGGAAAACACGCTACCCCAATATACTTACCCAAAACGAAACTCTTGCGGACTACCACATCATCAATTGGAACGGGAAACAAGGCTTGCCAGAATGGGGATACGATGGTAGTGACGAAGCAATTTCATCGACCAAGCGTTGTCAATTAGTAGAAGGTGCTTTTGATGGAACTTTTTATCCTAGACCGATGACAAAAAAAAGCATCACTTTGTTCAGAAAAGCTTTCTGCAGGCCTGTATCACTGCAGTTTGTCGAAGAAGGATACACGAAGCAAGGATTTAGATCTTTCAACTATAAAATGCCGAATAATATGTTTGCTAGCCCAGAAGAAAATAAGGATAATGAATGTTTTTGCTTTAAAGGTGATTGTCCTGGACAAGGGTTACAAAATATAGGTCCTTGCTACTACGACATTCCTATAGTGCTTTCACAGCCCACTTTCTCAATTCTCCTAGAGAGATAGTAGAAAGTGTTATTGGTATGAACCCCTCGGATGAAAAACACAGCAGTATAGCTAAAATGCAGCCCGAACTTGGCATTCCTCTCGATGAATCAGCTTTGAGAATCCAAATCAACCTTGGAGTTGGAGAAACAAAGTTTAACAGCAAGACTAGACCTTTTAACGGCCTTACACTTCCTATACTGTGGGTCGAACTCTCCTGTGATTCACTACCGCCCTTAGTAGACTTTCTTCTAAGAGTAGTAGTAGATGTAGTACCCATATTTCAAAAGGTAGTTGTTTATCTATTGGGGATATTAGGACTAGCATTTATTTCTGGAGCAGCTCTTCTCACATTATTCTTCACGAAGACTTCAGTTCCCAGGTCATTAAGCATCGCCTCTGAGTACTCGCCAATACCTCTTATCACTATTCCTGCTCAGTATTTTAAAGAAAAAGATTTTCGGATAAGTAAATGATCATATTTTGTGATATTGTTTAAAATTCGGACCTGAAAAGTACAATGCCAGTGCAGTATAAAATTTAAGTGAAAATAGTACCGCTGCCGTGGTTAGAAGGTACGAAATAATGGCAAGAACACTTTTGCTCTTTGGTACCTACTTATTAGTGCAAAAAGTAAAGTATAAAATTGTCCTTGAGCTTCAATATGTGGAATGTAAATGGGACCTAATATTGTTGCATATAGTAGAATTAGATCTAGATTACTTAAAAAACACTATGTTCCTTCCCCACATGTATATTTATGATCTTTTTACACCTTTTAAATTGTGGTGCTGATTTTATTGAACCACCACTAAAACATATAAGTATACAAAACTGTCAAAGATCTAGTATCACGCTGTGAATAATCGCAAGGAAAATAGCTATCATAATAAATTTGAGCAGGATGTTTAATATATCTGTTACTTTGATGTTGCATATATTTTAGAAATTTTTAAACTACTTGTGGAAATCCAAAGTTGGAACTCGGACAATCATTATTACGTTACTCGGATAGTGCTGTAATGAATAATGAGAATGTAATAATATTCATCTTCTGCTACAGCATCATCCAGTAACTGCTTCTTAATTGATCTTGAATCAATCAGAGGCGACATCTTAGAGATTTTGGTATATTAATTGATTTTTATAAAAATTAACCAAAATGCAAAACAAACCATTTTTAAACCATTTGTAACCAAAGATTTTTTATATTAAGGTATCCTATAAAAACAATTACAATTCTATAATTACTAGAAATAAACTCGGATAAGTTTTCCATCCAGTTAACAATCAATATTTTTATAAAATGTTCTTTACCAAAATCTAAACGTTAAAAACGCACCAGAGACTGATACATACTTAATAAAAAGGACATTCAATTTTTATTTGTTAAGGACAGGGTTGGAATATTGCTGGATACTGAATTGATAGTTACAAGTTCATAACCTGAAAATCTCAGTAACTACGTTTGTAATGTACTGCTGGAGTGATGACGTAGATTTTATTGACATTGATAGATGTGTCAGTTTCATTTTTCAAACAAACCTTGTTTAGTGTGAATAATTTATATTTTTATTTTTTCATTTTTTGACATAATCTCTCCGCTTTTTCCAATATCTAAGTATTCTAATAGTCACTACAATTTTACAAAGTTGTGCAAATAATAAAGCGTGTCGTTTAATAAAAATAGCAATAAAATGCATGTATCAATAAAGTAAGGTTAGAATTTCTTTAATTTAAACTTTTAAACTGTATTTCATAGAAATAGAACACTGAATTATGATGGTATTATAGTAAAAAAACTACACTTAAAAGAAAAATCAGCAGAGGAAGCAAAATTTTTACTTTATAGAAATTAAAAAGTCTTTAGATTGGGCCTTTCAACTTTTGTTTGGAAAGTAATAATAACAATATGGCCACCGTGACGTCACACTCCGGCTTAGACATAAATACAAGATAGACTATGTTCGCTCCGTGCACCTGAACAAGTATCGCCCTCTATTGGTTATTATATCATCACCATAAGGTTTACACATCGAGCAATAAAACAAAAGAGGGAATCTAATCCTTATGAAAAGGAGACCAAAAAAGTGGCCTCTGATGGCGGACATCCGGAAATGCGAATGCGCCAAATTTAAATTTTCCGACACTTATCAACAGTAGCTATATAATATTTTTCAGAATGTGTCTTAGACGAGAAAGTTTTAATTAATTATTAATGATAAGAGTCTAAAATGCGGCACAATTGTTAAAAAACTTCAATATAAATAAGATTTCATGTGACATTTAGGCATCGAGCAATAAGACAAAAGAGGGAATGTAAAGGTAGTGGGGGCAAAAATATTGATAGACAGGAAGTGCTATTTTAAGAGGCTACTTTAAACGAGGAAAGAGAATCTCTTTCCTTGTTTAAGAAATCAAATTTAATTGGGTTAGGTTATTGTTGATGTTATTGTTTGTCAAAACTGTCACATGAAAGCTGATTTATATTTTCTATTGAAATTTTTTAACATTTTAGACTATTATCGTTATTAATTAATTAAAACTTTATTGTGTTCTAGTGTTAAAAAAGTATTTTAATAAATAATTTTAATAAATAAATGGATAATATAAAATATTATGCAATATAAAATAAATAACTAGATAAATTAGAACCCCTACACCACTGTATGATTATTGTCAAGTGTCATAAAATTTAAATTTGGCGCATTTGCATTTCCGGATATGTCCGCCATCAGAGGCCACTTTTTTGGTCTCCTTTTCATAAGGATTAGATTCCCTCTTTTGTCTTATTGCTTGATGCATTTAGGACAAACAATAACATAACCCAACTAAATTTGATGTCAAACAAGGAGAGAGACTCTCTTTCCTTGTTTAATGTGGCCTCTAAAGATCGCACTTCCTGTCTAACAATATGTTTGCCCCCACTACCTTTACATTCCCTCTTTTGTCTTTTTGCTCGATGGGTTTACACCATTGAAATCATTTAGAAATCTGCAGTAATAAAATCAAAAATTTTGTGTGTATAATAATTATTTATATATAAATAACGTTATAGTAGTACCTATTTATTTATTACAAATAGATTTATTGACAGTTTAAAATGTGTATATTTTTACAAAAACATAAGTTGGATTTATATATTATAAACATTTTACTAGCTTATTATGTATATATTTTTAACAATAATATAATAACAATTTATGTATTTTATACTTATTATACCAATTTATACAACTACAGAGTTTGTTTGTACTAAAAACGAATTTCAGTAATTATTTCAATATTGATTTTTGAGATCCTATTTCTAACCTCACTTTTAACAATACAATATTCATCATCATTTTGGCTTTACAACCTTGTATGGGTCCTAGCCTCCCCAAGAATTTTTTCCAGTCGTCCCTATCCATCGTCTTCCTCCGCCAAGCACGTATTTCCATATTTCTCATATCTTGGTCTATGTTATCTAGGAATCTTGTTTGGGTCTTTCTCTTCTTCTTTGGCCAATAGGTCTATGAAGGAGCGTTTTTCTAGCTGGGCCGGTTTGCTCCATCCGCATTACATGGCCTATCCAACTCAGACGCCCTATCGTAATGTGTTTTACGATATCTGGTTCGTGGCATATTCTATAGAGTTCGAAGTGGTATCGTCTTCTCCAGACACCATTTTCATTTACCGCTCCATAGATTCGCCTTAGTATTTTTCTTTCGAAGCAGCCTAACATTTTTTCATTGCTTTTTGTTTTAAAGTCCAGATTTCTAAACCATACGTAAGGACTGGGCGTATTATTGTTTTGTAGAGTTTTACTTTTGTATTTTTGATATAACTGTAGAATTAAAAAGGAGATTAAGCCCAAAATAGCATCTATTAGCCGTGAAAATTCTGCGGCAGTGTCATTTTCAGTATTGACGAGCATTCCCAGGTATACAAATTCGTTAACTGCTTTGATGACGTCGTTTTCTATAACAAGTGGCCGTAGTATTTGTGGTTGCGTACCTATTTTCATGTATTTCGTTTTATTCGTGTTTATTATTAAACCCATTTTTGTAGCCGATTCCTTTAGTGCTACGTACGTCTCTCGTGCTGCGTTTTTCGTTCTCCCAACAATATTGATATCATCAGCATCTGCTAGGATTTGCACATATTTGTTGCAAATTGAACCGGTAGTTGTGATTTGTGACGTACGTATTACTTTTTCCAGAGCTAGATTGAATAGTATACAGAAGAGTGGGTCTTCCTGACGTAGCCCCTTTATTTGTTTTAAAAGGTTCAGAGAGTTCCCCTGGATTCGTACTCTGCATTCTACTTTTTCAAGGGTTAGTTTCGTTAGACTTACCATCTATTTCGGTACTCTAAGGTCCATCATTGCTTTAAACTAATTCTCTTCTATTTACAGAGTCGTAGGCTGCCTTGTAGTCTATAAATATTTGGAGCATGTCTACACCGTATTCCAGTGTTTTCTCTAGAATTTGTCTCAGGGTTGAAATCTGATGGATTGTTGATTTACCACCTCTGAAACCAGCCTGGTATTGTCTTATTATTCGCTCTGCATATGGTGCCATATGCGATGGCATAGTATATTGAGAATATTTATACGCTGCATTTAGGAGCGTAATTCCTCGATAGTTAAAGAATTCAAAGATATCTCCCTTTTTGTGTATGGTGCAATGTATTCCAATATTCCAATCACTGGGAGGGGATTTCTGTATCCATATTTCTTTTATAAGCTGCTGTAGCGCTATTATGATATCGTGGCCATCTTCTTTATATAATTCCGCTGGGAGATTATCTATTCCGGGTGATCTGTATACAGCTTCTTTAACTTCCTGGATCGTTGGTGGATCCTCCTCCCTCTCGTCTGCTCCGCTTATCTCACAGCGTTCGTCTTCAGAGTTTTCTTCTTTTTCCTCTATATTAAGTATCTGGTTAAAATATTCCGTCCATCGATTCAGTACGTCTGTTCTTGCTGTTAAAAGATAGCCATTCACACTTCTACATTGATTTGTGTTTGCCTTTAATTCTTTTCTGTTGCATAATTGTTGAATAATTCCATATATTATTGTAACAATATATGGAATTTGATGTACAGTAATCATTACATAAAAGTTTCTTTCTATATAAATTAGATCTCGCTATCTACAGTTCGCATTGATGCTTTTTATGATTTTTACTCG